AGCTCTGACATTTAGATGGAAAATTATTTTTCCTCCCCTTCTGGCTTATTCAGTGGAAGGCCAAACAAATGACATTTCAAGAACATTGGAAAGATAGAAGCATTTTGACCTGGAAAAATACAGATTACTCAGGCTGGATAAAGAGGCTCTCAAATATCTTCCAGTCAGACTCATTGCTGACAAACTTGTTTTCAAAATGTTAATTTCCTCTCTTTTGACTCAGGGCCTCTCAGAGCAGATTAAGATGTTTACCAGTGAATCCCTGGAGAAATTCTGGAACCAGCACCCAGGACCATCAGGAGAGATCCTAGGAACTGTGGGATGTTTGGCCAGGGCAGCTGGAGCTCCTGTGACTTTTGGTCTCTTCTCCCACCTTCTGCGTCACGTCAGGGAAAAGAACACTAGGCTTCTTTGAGCGTTTACTCCATAAGGGTGACTGCAGGTTTCCATCTTAATCCACATGCAAACCTCGAGCGTAGGTGTCACCCACACCTAACAGATGGAGACTATTCAAGAGGTTAACAACCAGCCCAGTTAATGCATGTGGGAGGCTATGTAGTTAATGTGTGTGGGAGGCTACGTAGCACAGCTGGAATCCAAACCTTTCCCACTGGGCTGCTTCCTGCAAGTCTGCGTGACATCAGCACATAGCGATCCCAAGATTCACTGAGGGCTGACCACATGCACTTGTGGACATGAGATGGGACCTGGCAGAAACCCCATTTTACAGATGAGGGAACAGGCACAAGGCCACCCAGGTAGAGCTCAAGAGCCAGGACTTGAATACGGGTCCAAGTCCTAAAGCCTCACTGGCTTCCTGTCACGCTGATGACATGACAGCAGCCAGGATGTTCTTGGCGCAGACCACCCGCTCATAGCCTATCAGGTCTCCAGCATCTGTTTGCCTTCAGTTTATCCTCCGCCAGCCCAACGGCTGCTTGAGTTCTTCTTCTAAGTCCCAGGTCTGCCCACGCCGGGCCCTGCAGCAGCCATGCCTGCCGGAAGATGCACTGTTACCTAAGGGCAGGTACATCGAGACAGCCATTTATCAGAAACACTTCACACAAATACCTTTCAAATGAAACTGTCTCTGTTTACACATGTGAGCACTGTTGAAAAACAAAATTCAACCAAGTAAGTTTCAAAGATCTTACTGGCTGTAATCAATAATTCATGAACCAGGCAGCATGCCCTCTAGCAAACAGAATGGAGCTCTGAGGGGCTGTACGAACTGGAGACTTTGAGAGGCAGGAGGGGGCAGGACAAGTGGGTGACTAGCAAAGAGTGGCGTGTTTCAGGCAAGGCTGCCTTCCTTTATGGGATGAGAGGGGTCTATTAGGTAGACCACCTTGCCGGCACTGATGAGGTAATTCCAGACTGACTGGTTAACATGCCATTCCTGGGGGAGGCTGAGCTGGACATTAGGTTAGGCACTAAGTCTTGTTTGGTGACATGAGCTTAACACAGGTGACTCTATTTGGGGTCTGTTGTCTTCCTAATAATTTCCCTTTTGATTCAGACTCTCAGCTTAACTGAGAAATGTGATAAAAATGTAAGGAATTAGCAACACTCTCAGCTCCTGCTCCGAAGTTCTTGCAAGTTTTGCTGATCTTCTGTATGATATTCACAGGTCATAATGTCTTTTAGCTGAATTTTTGTGATAGCCACAGGTCACAACTTCGGGTTCACAGATTTTAAGTTGGTCATTATCTTCATCCCTTTTCTAAAGCTCCAGTGCTTGAGAGATCATTTGCTTGGTGGCTAGCAGCTGTGGACATGCAGTTAAGGCCATTGTGAAAATACACCATGCCAAAGAGATAACTGTGATTACTACAAGCAACGTAAGCTTTTGGGAGCCCTGGTCCCCAAGACCCCATCCAATCAAAATCAAATAAATCACAGGAAAATCCTCCAAAGGAGTCACCTTTTTAAGCCAAGGCTCCTGCTCAGTGACCTTATGTAATGAGTTTCGGCTTCCCCAGGAGTGTTAATCCCGGGGCAGCAGGTGGCATTGGCTACAGCACAGGCACCTCCTTGCCCACCTAACCCGTTGATGATAACCTTTAGCATAAAACAGTAAGGACTTCCAGTAGCTGGTCATATTGGCATGAAGTAACAAGGGATCAGCAGAAGGTTGTAGACCAACAGGCACTGGTTGGTCAGCGTCTGTCTTACGTGGAGTGAGTTTATGTTTCCCAAAGTGGGAACTGCAAAGAGTCAGCTACACTAAAAACAATACCTTAGGCTGAGGGAGCCCAGCAGGTTCAGTAAGTTTAGGGATTTTAAGTTTGAGGATCCCATTAGTTTCCTTGACCTTGTATTTCCCTGATACTCTGGTTCACTCTTTTTAGTGTGGACCTCAGTTTTCATTACAGCAATTTCAGAAAGTAAGTAAGGCATTTACATACTGTCCCTTTTTGATTGGGGGCCTTGTGGATATAATAGAAGCCCTTTGTTTCCACAGCATCCCCAAATCACAGACAACCCCAAAGGCATACCAGCCATCTGTGTAAATATTAACAATTTGTCCTTCTGATAGCTGGCGTGCTCTGGTAACGGCAGGGAGCTGTGCCTGATGGGTTGACTTAGCTTGTGGGAGACTTCCCCTCTCAAGCAGGTCATCTTGGGTATTAGCAGCACAGCCTGCTCGGAAATTTCCTTTTCCATGTTTACAGAATATCCCATCAATAAACAGAATAGGTCAAGATTAGTCAAAGGGGCATCTCATAAAATCAGGATGCGGTGTCACGGAACTGGATGTTATTACCTCATGGTCATGGGGCTCACCTTCGTCAGGCAGGGGGAGGCGTGCAGCAGGATTAACCACATTGCTACATTAGGGATTCGATTAGGTGGTGAAATCAGAGGGTCTCATGGTGAAAGCAGGAGGTTAGTTGGCTCCCAGAGAAATGCTGAATCAATTCAGAATTCAGGAGAGCATGTGGAGTTTGTCAATAAATGTCACCTCCTGGAGTTAAATCTGCTGAGGCTTCTGCTACTTTGCAGGTGTAGCTATAGCCTGAAGACAGTTTGGACAGGCATGAGCACCTGACTCCAGCTGTCTTGGCCTCACGCCTATGTTTATGGCCGTGTTCTTGCGTGAGCATCCCCGGGGCTTGGTTATCTTTCATGTATAAATAAGGTGAAAGTTTTTGAATAGTTAGGTATCCCTGGGGTGAGTGGCTCTTGAAGCACTTGTTTTAGTTTTATAAAGGCCTGTTTATGTTTATCTTGGAAGGGATGGGGTTCAGGGACTGGAATGTTAGTAAATTCACACAGTGGGGATTCGAGAAAAACTAAGAATCACAGTGTATCAAAGACAGGCAGGCCTAGAAATCCACAAAGCCAACGCTTAGCTGTGGGCCCAGGGAATTCTTGGGTTCATTTTAATTACTTTTGGAGATGGCTGGATTCTTTCAGAGCTTAGATTATGACCCTGATAGTGAGTAGTATCTAGAGATAATTTTAATTTTTCCTTAGAGCTAACTGCTGTAGCAAGTAAATGGAATCTTTAGATGCTCCTATATTATTAGCTCTTTCAAGGAAACGAAGATAGCTCCTGGCCAGTGGGGTCTATAGGGGTGCTGAAGGCTCACATAGGCCCATACCACTAAGCCATTTTGAGTCTAGTGGAGATTGTGACAGAAGGGTGTTTGGGTTGGATCAACTGGGAAATGGGGCTCAATTATCTTAATAGCTCTCAAGTCCTCAAGTGCCCGTCTCCTCCCATTAGGGGTCCCAGCTGACAATGTTGGGGTCTTCCAGGGGTGGTACAGGGCATCATTAGCCCTTGGGCAATTAGGTTTTCTATCATGAGTGTAAGGCCTTGATGGCTTTAGGCTTTAATGGATATTGAGGCAATTTAAGGAGAGGTTAGGTATGCCTGCCTGAACTTTTGTAGGCTCTATACTTACTCTCCCAATGTCAGTATTAGATGCAGCCCACAGTTTTTCAGACACATCAGTTAAATTCAGGAACTCTTCTATATCAAGGACACATTGTAAAGAACATAAGAGATCAGGTTCAAGTTGGTCAGGAAATTCTAAGGTAAGGTCTCCATTGGAGGCAAACATAGTAGCCCTTAGAGTTTAGAGAGGCATTCTCTACCTATCAGATCCACTGTAGCTGTACAGCATAGCAAAAAGGGATGTTTTGCAGTGAGTGGTCCCAGAAACTTTCGTGCTGGTTGAGATAGAAACTGTCTGAATTTGATTAGCTATTCTCACTAAGGAAACATTTCTTTCACTTTGAGGGGTTTGTCATCCTATAAGAGTTGGGGTTAAAGTAGAGAGTATAGTTTCAGTATCTCCCAGAACTTGGAAGGATTTCCCCATTAATCTTAATCTTAGCTTCCCCTTGGCTGTTTAAGGGAATCACTAGTTGCAGTTTACCACAGAGCCCCCTGGAGTGCCATCAACTCTGGCAATGGCCATATGGGTGCCCTCTTTTGGGGGGTCAATATAGAGGCATTTGAGTGGATGTTGAAGGATTCCTTTGCATAAAATATTTGAGGACAATCATTTTTCCAGTGCCCTAGCTGATTACAAAGAGACACTGACCTCCTGAACCATCATTTTAATTTTTATTGAATTATAATTGACATACAATATCCTATTAGTTTCAGGTATATGTCATAGTGACTTGATATTTATACATTACAAAATGCTCTCCATGATGAAGTCTAGTTGCCATCTATCACCGTGCATAGTTATTACAATATTATTACCTGTGTTTCCTATGCTGCACACTACATTCTCGTGACTCATTTATTCTACAACTGGAAGTTCGCAGCCCCTAATCCCTGTCACCCAAGTCACCGACTCCCTACCCCCTTCCCAGCTGGTAACCAACAGTTTGTTTCCTGTATCTGTGAGTCTGTTTCTGTTTTGTTTTGTTTTTTACATTCCACATATAAGTGAAAATATAAGGTATTCGTTTTCTCTCTCTCACTCATTTCACTTAGCATACTACCCTCTAGGTCCATCCATATTGTTGTAAATTCTTTTTTATAGCTAATATTCCATTGTGTGTGTATATCTATGTGTATGTGATATACATATGTGTATATATATCATATCTTCTTTATCCATTCATTTATCATAGACACTCAGGTTGCCTCCCCTGGGCTAGCATTTTGATGACAGACCCCAGGTGCTATTTTAGGTTTTTGGCCTTAGAGCTATCGCAGGTGTAAGACTAATAGCTTGAGGGACTTGTGTTTGTGGTCTTGTTTCAAGTGCTCAGTTATGGTTATGAGTTCACTCAGACCAGTGGTCTCCCATCACATTTTCTGCCTTCTTATCGATCCAGTAATCTCAAGAGATAATCCGTTTACAAATAGGAAATGTAAAGCAGGTTGGGTGACCTCATTTATTGTATGGAGCCAGGAATACCAGAGAGCTTCCAAATGGGCTTTAAAGTCTGCCACAAATTCATCTTTCTTTTGTTTGCAGGTTTGAATGTTAGAGAAACCAGTGCAGGCAGGAAAGACTCAAGGAATGGCTTTTAAAGGATCAGTTGCTCTCTTGCAAGTTTTTTCTGGTCCATGTCAATAACTGAAGTGCTCAGATGTCATCCTCAGGGTTACACCATTCTGCTGCCCCACATCCATCTCTGGCGCTTCACCAGGTCCTATCAGAATGTGCACAAGCTGATAAGGATCTGGCAGCCTGGTAAGGACTCCAAATCCTTCAGAAAACTTCTGGGGATTCTCCTTGGGTTTAGGAAATTCAATTGTGGCTCTTAGTTTAGTCTTTGACTGTGGAGTGAAAGATACCTGAGTTGGACCTCCTGCAACCCCAAGTGGCTTTATCTTAAAGGTACCTATTTAATAGTCTCTTCAGAGTAGAAAGGCAGTTCAGAGAGAGAATAAGTAGAATCCATGGACTCAAGTAAAGCAAGAGAGAGGGGAGCAATAGGAATCACGTCAATGTTACTATCTTTTGTTTTAGGTACTTCTTGAGTCTTTGATTTTTTCATTAGCCTTTTGCAATTACTTTTTTAAATTAAGCCTTTTGGGAGCTGCTGCATACCACTTAAATAGGTACCCCATTCTGTCTGCTTGATCGGGGAACCCTTGCTTGATGAATGACCTTGTCTTATTGGAACATCCTCCATAAATGGCCATTATAATTCTAGGCTGTTTCTAATAAGATTTTGCCATTTTCGTAGATCTCTCCAATTCTGGAACTATCGTTCCTAAACATAAAATAAGCAGAGGTGCTGGGAGGTGGTACATGCAAGTCTTTGGAATTTAAGGATCCCATTTTTTTTCAGAGGCTAGGCCTTTGGGGCTCTCAAAGACAAACTAATACCCAAGAGAGACACGCTGCTGGGTTGGGGATTGTGTAGCATCTTACAGTGTCCTTTGTTGCACAAAAATTGTCTTGAGTTGGGAGGTGAGCTAGTGTTGATCTAACCTATTCCGTCACCAATTTATCCTAACACAGGAATCTTAGAGTTAGGTAGCAAGCACTCTAACAGCTGTTAAGTGCTCAACCTATGCCTGTCAAATTTGGTGGCTTTTGGCTTTTGAGATTCCCTTTAACAACAACCTCATGTGCACCTTAACACAAGTGATAACTAATCAGATGTTTACAATGGATTGGCCAATAGAAGCCCCTGTGTGCACCACCAGCCATTCCTAATGTGCACCTGTGCACTAGGGAAAGGCTTGAGCCAGCAGACCTCAACAAGTGGGACGGTGGACGGGGATTCCAAACAAATGGGGAACTGGATTGAATGACCAGCAGTTCTCAACATGGAATCTGGAGACTAAGCCAAGGGGTGGGTTTCTGATCAAATTGGGATTGTAGACTGGAAAGACAATTAGACCAGGAGCTCAATGGAAAGACAGGGGAGCTCAGAACCCAGAGGAACTTATCCACGGCCCTTGGAAATGATGAGAAAGACAGAGACCTCAAAGGGTTCATGAGGACCATGCTTTGCTTCTCATAGTCCCCAAAGCTGTAGGAAGTCTCTTTCAGATACCACCATTGCCACCAAATCTGTTAAAAAACAAAGTTCAACTGATAAGTTTTAAAGATCTTATTGTCCTTATTCATGAACCAGGAAGCATCCCCTCTAGCAAATAGAAAGGAGCTCTGAGGAGCTGTACAAACTGGAGACTTTGAGAAGCCGAAGGGAGCAGGACAAGCAAGTGACGAGCAAAGAGTGGCGTGTTTCAGGCAAAGTCATCTTCCTTTAGGGCGAGGCAGGGGTCTGTTAGGCAGATTATCTCAGTAGTGCTGACCAGGTAATTCCAGATTGACTGGTTAAGATGCCATTCCTGAGGGAGATGAGCTTGCAATTAGGTCAGGTATTAAGCCTCATTTTGGCGACATTGGCTTAACACAGATGACTCCATTTGGGGCCTGCTGCCTCTTTTAAACAGCATCTACTATGTGCTAAGCACTGTGGGAAGCGCTGGTAGGTGCAGTGGAGCACCCTGGGGGAGTCACTGACCTTATAGGCATTTATCAGCCTACAGAGAAGGGAATGGCATGTATCCTTGGCTCCTTATACACATAGGTATGAGGCCAGGTGCATTGCATGTGTCAGGTCGTCTAATCAAGCCTTTCACAGTTGAGGAATGGTAGTTCACAAAGGCTAAGTGACTTCCGTAAGTGACAGGCAGTGGGACCTGAATTCAAACACAGGTCTGCCTGTTTTTCCTCATGGTGAGCACCAGGAAGGAGCATAGTGAAGCTGGATATACGGGGCAGGCTGAATGGGTCTGAGACGGGTCCTGAACGGGAACGTGGTGTCAGGTGACCTGAAGGGGGCGCTCCACAATCTCTCTCTCTCATCCAAGTGAGCTGAAAGATTTCTGCAGTCAGAAACAGAGTGGGAATCTGGTGCTGGCTCGCCAGCTGGGTAACCTGGGGAAAGTGTTTGATTTCTCTAAGCCTCATTTTCCCACCTGTTAACGTGGGTCCCCATACTTTCCTCTGAGTTCGCTGTGAGGATGAAGCCCACACACACCGTACAGGAGGGTCCCTTTTAGGAGCCCAGGGGAGGGGCAGGAAGGCAAGCCCTGGGCCTGGGCTTGGGCTGGGTGGCCTTGGGACGTCCCTTCCTCTCCAGCTCCCCCACTGCAGGGTCCACACTGCCACCCACAAGTTGTGTGGCTGACACCTGAGGCTTACAAGTGTTGGCTCTTCTTGTGGCCCAGAGCCTGACCTAAAAGATAAACAGGCAGTGAACCATTTAATGCTGACAACAGCCCTGTGAGAAAGTGCCACTATTATCTCTGTTCCATAGATGGGGAAACAGGGCTGGAGAGGTTGAGGAATGTGCCAAAAGTTACAGCTAAAAAGAGAGATGGGGTGTGAGCCCAGGCGGTCTGGTGTCTGCACCGCTGCCTGTAACCTACATATTCAGTGCTGGGGGCCCAAGCCCTGGGGCAGGAGGATGGCAGGTACCTGTGCACTGCCAGGTGGAGTGCTGTTTCCTCTTTATTTTCGTCATCTTTGAAGTGTTTCTGGCAGACACAACAGTCAAGGTGCCTTCAAACCCATTTCTCTTCCTGTTGAGATGTTCTCTTTTGACTTAGGACACACCTGTTGGGTCTAAGCAGTGCTTGCCAAACCTGTGTCTTCTAAGCAGAGGAAGCACAGTGAGGAATCATAAAAAAGCAGAGAAAAATGGGGGTGGAGACTGGTGCTGCATAGGAACTTTACACTGAAGTGTGGCTTGCTGGGAAAGAGAGCAGTAAACAACGTGTGCACTTTGAAGAATTAGGAGGGGGTGTAACCATCAGCTCGAGGACACTGTATTTTAAAAGTGGACAGACAGATGTCTTAGTGTGCTCAGGCTGCCATAACAAAATACCAGAGACGGGGGGCTTGGACAACAGGCACTGATTTCTCACTGTCTGAAGCCTTAGAAGTCCAAGATCAAGGTGCCAGCCAATTTGGTTTCCGATGAGAGCCCTCTTGCTGGCTTGCAGATGGCCACCTTCTGTGACCTTGGATGGTGGAGAGAGAGGGTGAGCTCTCTGGTGTCTTCTCGTACAAGGACACCAATCCTATGAGATCAGGGCTCATTCTGTGACCTCATTTAACCTTATTACTCCCACACTCCAAATATGGCCACACCGGGAATCCAGGCTTAACCGCATGAATCAGAGTGACACAATCCAGCCCACAGCAGGTGAAATCAGGAATCAGGAATGGTGGCTTCTAGGCATCTGCAGGAGAGAGTCTGTGGGAGGAGTAAAGGCCTCGTGGAGCCCATTCCCTGACCCCCCAGCGTGCTTCAGTGAAACTACATACCCATACCTTGCTCACAGGCTTGCTGTGAGAAGATAATGAGAAAATGTATGTAAAATGCTTAACACAGGGCCTGGCACAGAGGAGCTGTTCTTTTTATTCACTGAATAGAGTCGAGTCTATTTCCCACCATTTGAACATGGGCTGGTCTTGCTACATGCTTTGGCCAATGGAATGTCGTGGAAGTGACAGTGTGTGAATTTCAGAGCCTGTGCCTCAAGGGGCATTATAGCATTCTCAGTAATTCTCTTGGAACTCTGACACCCCCACGTGAATAAGCCTGAGCTAGACTGTTGGAGGATAAGAGCCACGTTAAGGAAAACAAGGTGCCGCATTCCAGACACAAGTTAGATGATTCTAGATTGCCTAGCTGCCAGCTGGCTGCACACTGGTGGGTAAACCCAGCAAATAGCAGCCTGGTTGGCCCAGATCAGAAAAATCACCCAGGTGACCCACAGATTTGGGAGCTAAATAAAAGGGCTATGGTTTTAAATAGATGGTTTATTTTTGTTGGAGTGGTGGCTTGTTTTTTTTAAACCCAATAAAACAAAAGCTAAGTGATACTGCTATTATCAGCCTATCTGAGTGAAGTGTGGGTAGGTTTATATTCTGTACATGGTAACTGATCTTGGCAGATGTTGGGGCTTTTGTCTTAATTGTCAAACTAAATAATGATATCTGAGCTGGCACTGAGGCATATAGCCTCATTGTTCTACCACCTCACTGTCTTTTCTTTCCCTTTGAATGTTTGATTACACAAATATAAAAATTGTGCAGATAACCATGCATAATTTTCTGTAAAAACTGAAACTTTGTGTCAAACCTAGAGACCTTTGGAGGTGCTCTCTCTCCCTGCCTTCTTTCCTGGGAGACAGCGGTTTCCACCCTCTCCGTGTATTTGCATTCATAACTATGGGTCCCTGAAGAATGGAGAGCAGGGCTTTCCATCTTCTAAGTGGCATTCTGTCACACTTATTTTTCTACACCTTTGTCTTTCACACAATGATCACATCTTGGAGAATCTTCATTTCAGTACAACTAAATCTCATTTTCCGTGGGTTGATAGGCATCATTCCCAGTTTATTGCTGTTTCAAACAATGCTATAATTTAAATCTCTGTTTATATTTTCTCTGCNACAGCAATTTCAGAAAGTAAGTAAGGCATTTACATACTGTCCCTTTTTGATTGGGGGCCTTGTGGATATAATAGAAGCCCTTTGTTTCCACAGCATCCCCAAATCACAGACAACCCCAAAGGCATACCAGCCATCTGTGTAAATATTAACAATTTGTCCTTCTGATAGCTGGCGTGCTCTGGTAACGGCAGGGAGCTGTGCCTGATGGGTTGACTTAGCTTGTGGGAGACTTCCCCTCTCAAGCAGGTCATCTTGGGTATTAGCAGCACAGCCTGCTCGGAAATTTCCTTTTCCATGTTTACAGAATATCCCATCAATAAACAGAATAGGTCAAGATTAGTCAAAGGGGCATCTCATAAAATCAGGATGCGGTGTCACGGAACTGGATGTTATTACCTCATGGTCATGGGGCTCACCTTCGTCAGGCAGGGGGAGGCGTGCAGCAGGATTAACCACATTGCTACATTAGGGATTCGATTAGGTGGTGAAATCAGAGGGTCTCATGGTGAAAGCAGGAGGTTAGTTGGCTCCCAGAGAAATGCTGAATCAATTCAGAATTCAGGAGAGCATGTGGAGTTTGTCAATAAATGTCACCTCCTGGAGTTAAATCTGCTGAGGCTTCTGCTACTTTGCAGGTGTAGCTATAGCCTGAAGACAGTTTGGACAGGCATGAGCACCTGACTCCAGCTGTCTTGGCCTCACGCCTATGTTTATGGCCGTGTTCTTGCGTGAGCATCCCCGGGGCTTGGTTATCTTTCATGTATAAATAAGGTGAAAGTTTTTGAATAGTTAGGTATCCCTGGGGTGAGTGGCTCTTGAAGCACTTGTTTTAGTTTTATAAAGGCCTGTTTATGTTTATCTTGGAAGGGATGGGGTTCAGGGACTGGAATGTTAGTAAATTCACACAGTGGGGATTCGAGAAAAACTAAGAATCACAGTGTATCAAAGACAGGCAGGCCTAGAAATCCACAAAGCCAACGCTTAGCTGTGGGCCCAGGGAATTCTTGGGTTCATTTTAATTACTTTTGGAGATGGCTGGATTCTTTCAGAGCTTAGATTATGACCCTGATAGTGAGTAGTATCTAGAGATAATTTTAATTTTTCCTTAGAGCTAACTGCTGTAGCAAGTAAATGGAATCTTTAGATGCTCCTATATTATTAGCTCTTTCAAGGAAACGAAGATAGCTCCTGGCCAGTGGGGTCTATAGGGGTGCTGAAGGCTCACATAGGCCCATACCACTAAGCCATTTTGAGTCTAGTGGAGATTGTGACAGAAGGGTGTTTGGGTTGGATCAACTGGGAAATGGGGCTCAATTATCTTAATAGCTCTCAAGTCCTCAAGTGCCCGTCTCCTCCCATTAGGGGTCCCAGCTGACAATGTTGGGGTCTTCCAGGGGTGGTACAGGGCATCATTAGCCCTTGGGCAATTAGGTTTTCTATCATGAGTGTAAGGCCTTGATGGCTTTAGGCTTTAATGGATATTGAGGCAATTTAAGGAGAGGTTAGGTATGCCTGCCTGAACTTTTGTAGGCTCTATACTTACTCTCCCAATGTCAGTATTAGATGCAGCCCACAGTTTTTCAGACACATCAGTTAAATTCAGGAACTCTTCTATATCAAGGACACATTGTAAAGAACATAAGAGATCAGGTTCAAGTTGGTCAGGAAATTCTAAGGTAAGGTCTCCATTGGAGGCAAACATAGTAGCCCTTAGAGTTTAGAGAGGCATTCTCTACCTATCAGATCCACTGTAGCTGTACAGCATAGCAAAAAGGGATGTTTTGCAGTGAGTGGTCCCAGAAACTTTCGTGCTGGTTGAGATAGAAACTGTCTGAATTTGATTAGCTATTCTCACTAAGGAAACATTTCTTTCACTTTGAGGGGTTTGTCATCCTATAAGAGTTGGGGTTAAAGTAGAGAGTATAGTTTCAGTATCTCCCAGAACTTGGAAGGATTTCCCCATTAATCTTAATCTTAGCTTCCCCTTGGCTGTTTAAGGGAATCACTAGTTGCAGTTTACCACAGAGCCCCCTGGAGTGCCATCAACTCTGGCAATGGCCATATGGGTGCCCTCTTTTGGGGGGTCAATATAGAGGCATTTGAGTGGATGTTGAAGGATTCCTTTGCATAAAATATTTGAGGACAATCATTTTTCCAGTGCCCTAGCTGATTACAAAGAGACACTGACCTCCTGAACCATCATTTTAATTTTTATTGAATTATAATTGACATACAATATCCTATTAGTTTCAGGTATATGTCATAGTGACTTGATATTTATACATTACAAAATGCTCTCCATGATGAAGTCTAGTTGCCATCTATCACCGTGCATAGTTATTACAATATTATTACCTGTGTTTCCTATGCTGCACACTACATTCTCGTGACTCATTTATTCTACAACTGGAAGTTCGCAGCCCCTAATCCCTGTCACCCAAGTCACCGACTCCCTACCCCCTTCCCAGCTGGTAACCAACAGTTTGTTTCCTGTATCTGTGAGTCTGTTTCTGTTTTGTTTTGTTTTTTACATTCCACATATAAGTGAAAATATAAGGTATTCGTTTTCTCTCTCTCACTCATTTCACTTAGCATACTACCCTCTAGGTCCATCCATATTGTTGTAAATTCTTTTTTATAGCTAATATTCCATTGTGTGTGTATATCTATGTGTATGTGATATACATATGTGTATATATATCATATCTTCTTTATCCATTCATTTATCATAGACACTCAGGTTGCCTCCCCTGGGCTAGCATTTTGATGACAGACCCCAGGTGCTATTTTAGGTTTTTGGCCTTAGAGCTATCGCAGGTGTAAGACTAATAGCTTGAGGGACTTGTGTTTGTGGTCTTGTTTCAAGTGCTCAGTTATGGTTATGAGTTCACTCAGACCAGTGGTCTCCCATCACATTTTCTGCCTTCTTATCGATCCAGTAATCTCAAGAGATAATCCGTTTACAAATAGGAAATGTAAAGCAGGTTGGGTGACCTCATTTATTGTATGGAGCCAGGAATACCAGAGAGCTTCCAAATGGGCTTTAAAGTCTGCCACAAATTCATCTTTCTTTTGTTTGCAGGTTTGAATGTTAGAGAAACCAGTGCAGGCAGGAAAGACTCAAGGAATGGCTTTTAAAGGATCAGTTGCTCTCTTGCAAGTTTTTTCTGGTCCATGTCAATAACTGAAGTGCTCAGATGTCATCCTCAGGGTTACACCATTCTGCTGCCCCACATCCATCTCTGGCGCTTCACCAGGTCCTATCAGAATGTGCACAAGCTGATAAGGATCTGGCAGCCTGGTAAGGACTCCAAATCCTTCAGAAAACTTCTGGGGATTCTCCTTGGGTTTAGGAAATTCAATTGTGGCTCTTAGTTTAGTCTTTGACTGTGGAGTGAAAGATACCTGAGTTGGACCTCCTGCAACCCCAAGTGGCTTTATCTTAAAGGTACCTATTTAATAGTCTCTTCAGAGTAGAAAGGCAGTTCAGAGAGAGAATAAGTAGAATCCATGGACTCAAGTAAAGCAAGAGAGAGGGGAGCAATAGGAATCACGTCAATGTTACTATCTTTTGTTTTAGGTACTTCTTGAGTCTTTGATTTTTTCATTAGCCTTTTGCAATTACTTTTTTAAATTAAGCCTTTTGGGAGCTGCTGCATACCACTTAAATAGGTACCCCATTCTGTCTGCTTGATCGGGGAACCCTTGCTTGATGAATGACCTTGTCTTATTGGAACATCCTCCATAAATGGCCATTATAATTCTAGGCTGTTTCTAATAAGATTTTGCCATTTTCGTAGATCTCTCCAATTCTGGAACTATCGTTCCTAAACATAAAATAAGCAGAGGTGCTGGGAGGTGGTACATGCAAGTCTTTGGAATTTAAGGATCCCATTTTTTTTCAGAGGCTAGGCCTTTGGGGCTCTCAAAGACAAACTAATACCCAAGAGAGACACGCTGCTGGGTTGGGGATTGTGTAGCATCTTACAGTGTCCTTTGTTGCACAAAAATTGTCTTGAGTTGGGAGGTGAGCTAGTGTTGATCTAACCTATTCCGTCACCAATTTATCCTAACACAGGAATCTTAGAGTTAGGTAGCAAGCACTCTAACAGCTGTTAAGTGCTCAACCTATGCCTGTCAAATTTGGTGGCTTTTGGCTTTTGAGATTCCCTTTAACAACAACCTCATGTGCACCTTAACACAAGTGATAACTAATCAGATGTTTACAATGGATTGGCCAATAGAAGCCCCTGTGTGCACCACCAGCCATTCCTAATGTGCACCTGTGCACTAGGGAAAGGCTTGAGCCAGCAGACCTCAACAAGTGGGACGGTGGACGGGGATTCCAAACAAATGGGGAACTGGATTGAATGACCAGCAGTTCTCAACATGGAATCTGGAGACTAAGCCAAGGGGTGGGTTTCTGATCAAATTGGGATTGTAGACTGGAAAGACAATTAGACCAGGAGCTCAATGGAAAGACAGGGGAGCTCAGAACCCAGAGGAACTTATCCACGGCCCTTGGAAATGATGAGAAAGACAGAGACCTCAAAGGGTTCATGAGGACCATGCTTTGCTTCTCATAGTCCCCAAAGCTGTAGGAAGTCTCTTTCAGATACCACCATTGCCACCAAATCTGTTAAAAAACAAAGTTCAACTGATAAGTTTTAAAGATCTTATTGTCCTTATTCATGAACCAGGAAGCATCCCCTCTAGCAAATAGAAAGGAGCTCTGAGGAGCTGTACAAACTGGAGACTTTGAGAAGCCGAAGGGAGCAGGACAAGCAAGTGACGAGCAAAGAGTGGCGTGTTTCAGGCAAAGTCATCTTCCTTTAGGGCGAGGCAGGGGTCTGTTAGGCAGATTATCTCAGTAGTGCTGACCAGGTAATTCCAGATTGACTGGTTAAGATGCCATTCCTGAGGGAGATGAGCTTGCAATTAGGTCAGGTATTAAGCCTCATTTTGGCGACATTGGCTTAACACAGATGACTCCATTTGGGGCCTGCTGCCTCTTTTAAACAGCATCTACTATGTGCTAAGCACTGTGGGAAGCGCTGGTAGGTGCAGTGGAGCACCCTGGGGGAGTCACTGACCTTATAGGCATTTATCAGCCTACAGAGAAGGGAATGGCATGTATCCTTGGCTCCTTATACACATAGGTATGAGGCCAGGTGCATTGCATGTGTCAGGTCGTCTAATCAAGCCTTTCACAGTTGAGGAATGGTAGTTCACAAAGGCTAAGTGACTTCCGTAAGTGACAGGCAGTGGGACCTGAATTCAAACACAGGTCTGCCTGTTTTTCCTCATGGTGAGCACCAGGAAGGAGCATAGTGAAGCTGGATATACGGGGCAGGCTGAATGGGTCTGAGACGGGTCCTGAACGGGAACGTGGTGTCAGGTGACCTGAAGGGGGCGCTCCACAATCTCTCTCTCTCATCCAAGTGAGCTGAAAGATTTCTGCAGTCAGAAACAGAGTGGGAATCTGGTGCTGGCTCGCCAGCTGGGTAACCTGGGGAAAGTGTTTGATTTCTCTAAGCCTCATTTTCCCACCTGTTAACGTGGGTCCCCATACTTTCCTCTGAGTTCGCTGTGAGGATGAAGCCCACACACACCGTACAGGAGGGTCCCTTTTAGGAGCCCAGGGGAGGGGCAGGAAGGCAAGCCCTGGGCCTGGGCTTGGGCTGGGTGGCCTTGGGACGTCCCTTCCTCTCCAGCTCCCCCACTGCAGGGTCCACACTGCCACCCACAAGTTGTGTGGCTGACACCTGAGGCTTACAAGTGTTGGCTCTTCTTGTGGCCCAGAGCCTGACCTAAAAGATAAACAGGCAGTGAACCATTTAATGCTGACAACAGCCCTGTGAGAAAGTGCCACTATTATCTCTGTTCCATAGATGGGGAAACAGGGCTGGAGAGGTTGAGGAATGTGCCAAAAGTTACAGCTAAAAAGAGAGATGGGGTGTGAGCCCAGGCGGTCTGGTGTCTGCACCGCTGCCTGTAACCTACATATTCAGTGCTGGGGGCCCAAGCCCTGGGGCAGGAGGATGGCAGGTACCTGTGCACTGCCAGGTGGAGTGCTGTTTCCTCTTTATTTTCGTCATCTTTGAAGTGTTTCTGGCAGACACAACAGTCAAGGTGCCTTCAAACCCATTTCTCTTCCTGTTGAGATGTTCTCTTTTGACTTAGGACACACCTGTTGGGTCTAAGCAGTGCTTGCCAAACCTGTGTCTTCTAAGCAGAGGAAGCACAGTGAGGAATCATAAAAAAGCAGAGAAAAATGGGGGTGGAGACTGGTGCTGCATAGGAACTTTACACTGAAGTGTGGCTTGCTGGGAAAGAGAGCAGTAAACAACGTGTGCACTTTGAAGAATTAGGAGGGGGTGTAACCATCAGCTCGAGGACACTGTATTTTAAAAGTGGACAGACAGATGTCTTAGTGTGCTCAGGCTGCCATAACAAAATACCAGAGACGGGGGGCTTGGACAACAGGCACTGATTTCTCACTGTCTGAAGCCTTAGAAGTCCAAGATCAAGGTGCCAGCCAATTTGGTTTCCGATGAGAGCCCTCTTGCTGGCTTGCAGATGGCCACCTTCTGTGACCTTGGATGGTGGAGAGAGAGGGTGAGCTCTCTGGTGTCTTCTCGTACAAGGACACCAATCCTATGAGATCAGGGCTCATTCTGTGACCTCATTTAACCTTATTACTCCCACACTCCAAATATGGCCACACCGGGAATCCAGGCTTAACCGCATGAATCAGAGTGACACAATCCAGCCCACAGCAGGTGAAATCAGGAATCAGGAATGGTGGCTTCTAGGCATCTGCAGGAGAGAGTCTGTGGGAGGAGTAAAGGCCTCGTGGAGCCCATTCCCTGACCCCCCAGCGTGCTTCAGTGAAACTACATACCCATACCTTGCTCACAGGCTTGCTGTGAGAAGATAATGAGAAAATGTATGTAAAATGCTTAACACAGGGCCTGGCACAGAGGAGCTGTTCTTTTTATTCACTGAATAGAGTCGAGTCTATTTCCCACCATTTGAACATGGGCTGGTCTTGCTACATGCTTTGGCCAATGGAATGTCGTGGAAGTGACAGTGTGTGAATTTCAGAGCCTGTGCCTCAAGGGGCATTATAGCATTCTCAGTAATTCTCTTGGAACTCTGACACCCCCACGTGAATAAGCCTGAGCTAGACTGTTGGAGGATAAGAGCCACGTTAAGGAAAACAAGGTGCCGCATTCCAGACACAAGTTAGATGATTCTAGATTGCCTAGCTGCCAGCTGGCTGCACACTGGTGGGTAAACCCAGCAAATAGCAGCCTGGTTGGCCCAGATCAGAAAAATCACCCAGGTGACCCACAGATTTGGGAGCTAAATAAAAGGGCTATGGTTTTAAATAGATGGTTTATTTTTGTTGGAGTGGTGGCTTGTTTTTTTTAAACCCAATAAAACAAAAGCTAAGTGATACTGCTATTATCAGCCTATCTGAGTGAAGTGTGGGTAGGTTTATATTCTGTACATGGTAACTGATCTTGGCAGATGTTGGGGCTTTTGTCTTAATTGTCAAACTAAATAATGATATCTGAGCTGGCACTGAGGCATATAGCCTCATTGTTCTACCACCTCACTGTCTTTTCTTTCCCTTTGAATGTTTGATTACACAAATATAAAAATTGTGCAGATAACCATGCATAATTTTCTGTAAAAACTGAAACTTTGTGTCAAACCTAGAGACCTTTGGAGGTGCTCTCTCTCCCTGCCTTCTTTCCTGGGAGACAGCGGTTTCCACCCTCTCCGTGTATTTGCATTCATAACTATGGGTCCCTGAAGAATGGAGAGCAGGGCTTTCCATCTTCTAAGTGGCATTCTGTCACACTTATTTTTCTACACCTTTGTCTTTCACACAATGATCACATCTTGGAGAATCTTCATTTCAGTACAACTAAATCTCATTTTCCGTGGGTTGATAGGCATCATTCCCAGTTTATTGCTGTTTCAAACAATGCTATAATTTAAATCTCTGTTTATATTTTCTCTGCATAAGTGTAGAGATTTCTCCAAGTAGGTACCTTGAGGTGGAATTTCTGGATGCTAGAGCTGGGCTCCTACTTACGAGTTTCATACCTCTTTCTAATCTATTCTTCAAGGGGACTATCTAATCATACTGACATCTCAGTTCCCCATCTCCTTCCCCGTATGTTTTATTATCCCTCATCTTTGATGAGTTAACCTTTGGCCGCATCTTCCAGGCCTGGCAGGAAGCCTTGGGGAGCGATGGGAGCTGTGGGCCTGCTTTCTTCCCGGTCCCCTCGTCGGCAAATGTGATGGTTTTTCTTCTCTTTTCATCATACCTGCTGCCATGTGAGCTTGTTTGTTTCTTTATTGTCCATCTCCCTGTCCAGAGCCTGGCGCCCAGCACACGCCCAGCAGGTCTTTGTGGAGGAAACTGCGAATGAAGAGCGGGGCATGACACTGTCATCTCGGCCTGACCGGCACCTGCTCCCACCTGTGCGTAGGCACAGCTGCAAGGTGAGCCTGGCAGCCCCACCCTGAGTCCCTGAGAGGACTCCCCTGAGCAGGGCCCGGGCATCTCTTGGGAGAATGGGAAGAGGGACTCTGAAGCCCATAGTCATTGCCATGGACACTAGAATTAAAGTGCTTACACAGATTGGGGGAGCAGAGGATAAGCTTCAGCCCTTGTGGGAGGGTGTCTGGGCCAGAGAGGAGCTCACCTTTGGAGGAAGAGAGCTCATGTGGCCCGGTGCCTTGTTCAGGCCTGGGCTGGGACTTCTCAGCTGCTCTGGTATATGTCCATACATAGCACGCCAAGCAGGCTTTGTTGTAGAGGGGGTAGTCAAGGCCCCTGAGCAGGGCCAGCCGTGATAAACCAGAAGGAAGAAGATTCTGGGCAGAGGGTCAGCGTGGGTGGGGCCCTGCTGCCAGGCAGAACCTGCCTCATTCGCGGGACTCCAAGGAAAAGGGGATGCCCTAGGCAGGGCGAAGCACCCAAGCACTGGGAAGCCGCTGTGGTGTGAGCTGAATTGGGTGGCCAGCTGTCCCAGTTTGCCTGGGATCTGGGGTCTTCTCTGGACATGGGATCTTCAGCATTAAAACCAGGAAAGCCCCTGGCAAACCAGGACGAATCGGTCACCTGGGGTGAGGTAATTGGACAAAGCTGCTGGAGGAGGGAGGGCTGTCCCTGAGCCGGAAGAGGTTGAGGGCTGGACCAGCAGAGGAAATGTGTGGACAGAGAAGTCTGTTCCTGCATGACTGCTTTTCATAGGGAATGGTCTGGCCAGCCAGCTGCCAATGACCAATTTGAAAATAACTTTTGCTTTCCCCGCTTGCTGTACTTGAAACCTATTATGCAAGCCAAAGCCTGTAAACGATGATGTCACTGCCCCACCTCCCTTCGTCTGGGGACTGTGGACAGGCCTACGGATTACAGAATTGCTGTAATCTCCACCATCTGGCCATCTTTGGCCCCTGCCTTTCCTCACATGGTCAGAGGTCACCCCTTATCTTTGCAGGAGTTTTGGGGATGGCAGCCCTCCCCAGGGCCAGAAGGAGCGGCCGGAGGGAGGGTGGAGGTGAGGACGCCTCGTTGTCTGTATGGTGGCAGCAGCTCCCCGTTACTGAGCTCCATGCAGTTCCCCAGAGGCCAGATGTTTGGAGGCACTGGCTTGGCTCATCCTTAACAACACCCTCTGAGATGGGTGCCTGTGTGAGTCTCCTGTGGCTGTAACAGATCATAAACTCAGAGCTTACCACGTAAATCTATTATCTTACAGTTTTGAAACTACAAGTCCCAAATCAGTCCCACTAGGCTAAAGTCAAGGTGTTGGCAGGACCGTTTCCTTCTGGAAGCTCTGGGGAGAATTTCCTTGCCTTTTCCAGCCCCTAGAGCACCCATATTCCTTGGCTCGTGGCCTCTTCCCTGGCTTTCCTACATCTGGCTTCTTGCTTCATATCTCTTACCCTCACTCTGCCCCGCTGCCTCCCGTGAATATATCAGGACCCCTGTGATCATATGCAGCCCATCTTGATAACCCAGGTCATCACCCCATCTCAAAATCTTTAGCTTACCACATCTTCTGAGTCCCCTTTGCCATACAGGCACATACTCACGGGCTGGAGGGACTGGGATTGCACATCTTCGGAGGGTCTTTGTCAGTAGCCGCAGTGCCACTCTTGTTGACATTTTGCAGATGAGGAAACTGAGGCTAGGAGAATTTGCATCTCTTGCCCAAGGTCAAGGCCAAGAGGCAAACTGAAACCCAGGCTCCCACCAGCAATGCGATCCTAGCTCCTGTGGGCCTGTATGAGACTTAGGAGATGCCCTTTTCTCTGGGAAGATGGAGCCATGCCAGGCCCATATCTTGGTGACTGGCATAAGCTGGACGTCGACCCCTGGGTGCCCCCCAGGCCAGATGCCTTTGGGTACAGACAGCCTGTGCAGCCACATGTGGCCCAAAGCTGCCTCCATGTATGTTCCCTCTGCACCCGGGGGCTGAAGAATGGGCTGTCTGGGGAGAAGATGGGGAGATGGGCAGTGGCTGGGGGGCTGCTTTCCCTCTCCCTCTAGTGCTCAGACTGCCTCCTCCTGGGGATTGCTGCTCCCAAAGATGATAAAGGGGAGGAGCAGGCAGACAGGCCCTTCTGCTTGGTTAGCCAGGTGGACCTACCTGCTCCTTCGGAAGGGCTAACTGCCAGTCTTACCTTCTAGGAGGGGGTTGGCAAACTGATTTGCAAGGGCCAGATAATAAACATTCTTGACTTTGCCAGCCACATGGTATCTGTTGCAACTGCTCAGCAGCTATTGTAGTGTTTGACCAGCTAAGACAAGACAGACAAACAGGCACACTGTCTCCCAATAAAACTTATGAAAACAGGCAGTAGCCCCTGTTAGCCCCTGTCCTAGGGCATTTTCCTTTCTCTAGCCTCCCCCAGGACAAAAAACAAGGAGACTAGTGCTCCCTGAGGGACTTTAAGGCAGAACAGGCCCTGCCCCAACTCTTCCAACCAGGAGAGAATGGTTTTAACGGGGAGGCTGGCCCATCCATTGTGCAGTGAGCTCTCAGGATGGTAATGCCAGCTACAGCCTGTGAGAGTGTGCCATGCACGAAGCCAGCTGCTGACATTATCTCATCAAATCCACAGGACACTCCTGTGTCCTATTCCTGGGAAGTGGAACAGTAAACAATCAATTCGATGAGGAGGGAGGTCGGGCTTCTATGACGATGATACATCTCAGAGCGAGAGTCCGTCTGAACTAACAGGCAGGCTGTTAGCTCCACCTCCCTTACCCCTTTCCAAACGGACATTTTTAATATCTAGGGTTGCAAACCCAGTGCCTACAGAAGTCAAGTGGGACAGAAGTCAGCTGCTGTAAAATAATCTGGAGTTAGGGCAGGCTGCCCTCAATACACACCAGGCCAAAGTAATTGACCAACAGAGCCCATATACCATGTATCCAAATGTATAAAAGCTGTAGATCAGCTAATGAATTGTTGAGTGAAATATACCTAATCTTTTTTTTGTTTTGATAACTATACCTTCACAACAACCTGAGAGGCTGGATTTAGGTATCGACTTAGAATAGACTATGTATAGATAGGACAGATATAGATATAGACTTTTTGGACTCTATAATGGTAATTGTGTGTGTTTACTTGGCTAGACCATGGTGGCCCGACGGTTCAAACACCAGTCTTGAGGTTGGTGTGAAGGTATTTTGTAGATGTGGTTAACATTTAAATCAGCAGACTTTGAGTTAAGTAGATTGCCCTTCACAATGTGGGTGGGCCTCATCTAATCAGGTGAAGGATATATGAGAAAAGACTCCCCAGAAGAGGATGGAATCCTCCAGACTGCAGCTGAGAAGCCCTGTCTGAATTTCCAGCCTGAAGGCTTACCCCACAGATTTTAGACTTGCCAGGCCCCTTAATACCATGAGCCAATTCCTTAAAATAAATCTCTCTTTATCAATATTTTATTGGTTCTGTTTCTCTGGACAACCCTGACTCATGCAGACTGTGGAGTTCTGTGCTGGAACATGATCCCCGGGGAGAGCAGGTTCTTGGATGGGGCCTGTCCTCATTTTCTGCCCGGACAACCTGCACATCCAAGCTCCAGTCTCCCCATCTTGCAAACAGATGCTCCTTGGTACCACTCTGAGGCCTAAAGGTGCAGATACCATTGGCAGGTACCTCTCAAAGGTCCCAACCACCCAGGCATAAAGGAGGGCACAGAATTCTGAGGTCCTGAAGCGAGGGAGAAATGAGGGATTCGGATGCACACATCCTCCTGGCCTCTTTGGGCTCCTTGTCCCACAGGGAAGTGCAGGTAGAGGGGGACAGGGAGGGACTCTTTAAAATGTGGGGCCCAGAGTAGGGGACCGCTTGCCTGGGCCTGACATGAATGGGTAAGTGCAGGTCTCCCTTAAAGCCGGCAGCCAGCCTCAGCTACTCCACCCCATGGGCAGACAGCCACTGTGGGGATATTTCTTTTTGTCAAGAAACCCACATTTTATATCACTGTTGTTGGCAACTGCTTAAAATGCAATTCACAACACTGTACAGGCTGAAGGGGTTTCTGGAGGAGCTGAGAATACTTGGCTTATTGACCTGAGTCCTTGGTTTATGGGTGTGATGACTTTGTGAAAATGTATTAAGCTGTACAGGCATCATATGTGCATTTTTCTGCCTGTATGTCATGCTTCAATAAAAAGCTTTATTAAAACAAAACAGAGCCATCCCCAGGCTCAGCAGAAGATGTCTCATGGCTGGCTCTGGCACATGACCCACCAGTTTGGACCCTAACTTCGATGTCTGCTTGGCATTTATTTCTTGGGGCAGGGTCTGGGTGCAAAAAGGAGGTTTTGATCAATTTTCCCCGTGGTTTAGGGCTACTCTCCATGCGGGAACAGAACCTACCAGATGGTACCATCTCAGAGCTTCTTCCAGAGCTTGCCTAGTTCTTACCCAGTAAGGGGCAGAGACGGGCTGCTCACAGCGCTGGCGCCACACTGACCCCTGCTGGTCATGGCCTACTGGGTTTTTCCGTCTGACTTTCTGGGCCCCGCAAGTCAAGGGGCTCCCTGGGGGCAATTTTTTTGCAATGAATTAAATGCATGGGAGTTTCTGGGCAAAGCAGGGCTTTGGATGGGTTTCCAAAGAGTTGAAAAGTGAGCGTCCACACAGGTAGAGACAAATGCACATACTCCTTTCTTGTAGGAGGCGACCCCAGGTGGAGAAGAATTCTCACAGCTCTTGCCAGATGGTCCACCTCTACACGACCCCCTTGCTCCTCCAGGCCAATGGTGTAAGAGCTCGGCTGTCACTACTGCGCAGCCAGGAGCCCACCAGGGATTGATTCCTCCTCTGCCTGGCTTCTGGCAGCGCCCCATGCCCCAACGAAATTCCCCAGGGTCATCCCACATTCCTCTTTCCACAGCTCATCTGTCAGCAATCACGCCGCATTTTCATATTCATATTCACCAAATAATGCTCCTGTCCTCCTCTCCCCTCCCTCATTCAAGTCAAAACAACCCTAAGCACACTGGAAGGGATAGGAGGGTTCTTGAAGGGACATAAGGAAGTTTAAGTAAGTGGCTTCATAACAAGCATTTTTCCCCCCAAGTTAATGGAAACAAGTCTTTATTACATTTTAATATCAGAAAGCTAAAACTCTTATAATTGTATTAACAGCAAATATATAATATCAGTGTGTAACGGAATGACAAGGCAGAAGCCTCCCAGATGGTAGAAAGGGAGAGATATTCAGATAGTAAGAAACCCAATTCAAATCCCAACAGGAGCCCTGGGGAAAACTACCGTGGGGAACGAGGGGACTGATTCTTAATGGGTGTCTTTTCAGAATGGGTAGAGGCTTACCCCACCTGAACAGGAAAGGCTTCCGAAATGGTTAAAGCCCTTCTGAAGAGCAAAGGCTTTAAAATGTAAAAATTAGCTGCATTAAAAGTGTTACAAAAAACTGATACAGAAGGGAAAAATCTTGCATTGTTTCTCTGTGTTTTGATGCCATGAATCTTATCATGTCTTTGAAATGTAAACACAGCCCACTTTCACCTGAAACTGAAGGAAAAAAAAATGGAAAATGAGGCCTTTTAAAAAACAAATGACTATGAAATCATCCTTGCCTGACAGTTGAGCCCACAGCTTATAAAAATGAAGAGAAAGATGTTATGGTGACTGATAGCAAATGGGTTAAGGTTTTTGAGGGTTGAGTAAACTAGGATGTGTGTTGTAGGTAGAAGGTATGAGAAATGGAGATACTTTTTTATTGAAGGAAGAAAGAAGAAAGTCATTTTGTCTTAAAGTAAAATGGTCCAGAGTAAAAAAGGAAAAAGAACAAAACCTAAACAGATATAGTAAGTTGCAGGTTTGTGAAAAAGGAGTCTTTTAAGAAAGGAATTTTTATGTATGGTTAAGCTAAGATTGGGATGGATTTATGTAAGTTAAGAATAAAAGGAAAAAGAATTTTACTCTCAGAAGTACATTGTAAAATTAGAATTTTACAAATGCTTTTCTCTCTGTTAGAAGGACAAAGTTTCCTGGAACTATTGGTCTGGTCTTGATAGTAAGAGATTATGAAGAGTTTTTCTTTGCCTTAAATTAATTGTTTTATCAGAACAATTGCATGTGCTTCAAGCTGTCTTAGACCTTCAATTACCTAAGAAAACTGAATCTTCTCAATACTGAGAGTTAAATTTGCTCACGTCAATCTAACCTTCTGTATTTGTTTTTAAAATCTTTTATTGTCACTTGGGTTAAAATCAATTACTAAGCATTTTTTTGTAATGATCTGTGATTCTATTTAGAATTTCCAGAACAAATGGAAAAACCTGGACTTCAGCAGGACAAGAATTAATAACACAGGACTGAACAAACTGAGGGAAATGATTGGAATTTTTGTGACTTTTCTTTAAAACATTGCTGATTCTCTAATGTTTGCTTTTCCAGATTTAAAGAAACTTTTTCTTCTGGGCCATCTATAGCTTACAACAGTTTGGGAAATCATATCTCTGTAAACAGAACATAAGACGTGTTTCTCCCTTACCTGATCCCTCCAGAATTCTGAAGCTCTCAGTCTTTTTATATTTTTATGCTAATATAATTATTTGCATAACCTCATTAAGCATCTGTTCCCCTTGAAATAGGGCACAGTTGGAAACCTTGGGTATATTACCAACACTTTGATTGGAACGCTGTATTTGAAAAAGAGATAGATACATACTCAGAACTGACCTAACAGCTTTAAGGAACTAAAGTTTAGTGACATTATGAAGCCAGTGAAGCCCTTGGACAATTGGCCTGGTACCTTGCTTACAGGATTCCTAGGAGCCTTACCAGGTGAGTAAGGTCACTTCCTGGCAAGTGCAGGAACCTCGGGATAGTCAAGAAGAGAGGAATTCACCCAAATCTAAACATATGCAGACAAAGTTTGACTTGGCTTGGCTTCCCTGACCTTGAGAGGCCTTTGTAAATTCAATCTGAGATTCCTTATGAAAACTTCCA